GGTCGTGGGGCGCCGACTCCGCGGTAGCCAGTTTGTTGTTCTTCATGTTGTCGATGTCCTCGGCCAGGGGCGGCTCTGGGCGGCCCAGGTCCTGCTGGATGGGCCGGGTGGTCGACAGGTTGGGCCCCGACATGGGCATCCCCGAGCCCTGGTTCTCTCTAAGGGAGGCAAGGAAAGAGAAGCCCAGCCTGGTCAGGATGGTGGGGCGACAGACCCCATCCCACTCACGCTCAACCGTGGAGGCGTCTGTCCCAAAGGCCCCCAGTGCCCAGCACCAGGACGGCCATTCCACAGCCGTTCACGGACCAAGGCCTCAACTCGTCCGTGTATAGGCGTCCCTGAGTCCTTGTCCGCTTTCTTGCCCTTCTCTTTCTGAAATGGGGTCTTGCTCTGTCGCCCAGGCTGGAGGGCAGTGGCACGCTCACAGCTCACGGTAGCCTCGACTTCCTAGGCTCAGGCGATCCTCCTGCCTCAGCCTCCCAGGTAGCTGGGACTACAGGCATGTGCCACTAAGCCTGGCTAATTTTTTGATTTTTTTTGTAGTGATGAGGTCTTGCTATGTTGCCCAGGCTGGTCTCAAACTTCTAGGCTCAAGCGATCCTCCACCTCAGCCGGCCAAAGTGTGCTGGGATTACAGGTGTGAGCCACTGTGCCCAAACCTCTTCATGGCTTTAGATGCCTGTAATGTGTATGTCTCCTCTCCACGTTTTAGTTAAGGGAGGCAAGCCACATACACACAAAACCATAGTGGAGAAAGTAACACTAGACACAATAACAGCGAAGTCCCCAAGGGCTGTTGTACGCATGTGACTTGTAATAATGTCTTAATCTTCAGTCCTAGGGGGAACAATTACTAGTACCATTCTAGAGATGAGGAAACTGAAGCTCAGAGAAGTCAAGTCTCTTGCCTAAGGCCACACAGCTGGTGAATGATCAAGACAGTTTCTCACAGGGACAGTTTCTCACAGGGGCAGTTTCTCACAGGGGCAGGGATTGAGAATGAGCGGGTGGGCACTTGGCTTCTCAGGGAAGGCCCCCTGCAGGGGGTGACAAAGGAAGGAGACAGGAGGAAGCTGCCAGAGAAAGGCCAGGGAAAAGCACTCCAAGAAGGGAGGAAGCCAGTGCAAAGGCACTGGGGCAGAGTTGAGCTTGTTGAGTTCCAGAAGCAGCAAGGAGGTGGGCATGGCTGGGGGTGGAGAGTTGGGGAGAGGAAAGGGCTGGAGTTTGGTGCCTCAATTACCCAAGTAATTAACACTCCACAGCCAGAGAGGAGAAGCAAAGCATCTGTGTGCCCAGAGCATTTGGATGAGGTGAGAAAAACACTAAAAAAGCTAAGTTTTCACTGGATTTTTGCATCGCAATGCCACTGGGACATCAGCTCTCAGAGGCAAGGGGGCTCATCTATTTATTCAAAAAACATTATTATTATTGTTGAGTTGGAGTCTCTCACTTTGTCACCCAGGCTGGAGGACAGTGGCAGGCTCACGGCTCACTGCAGCCTCAACCCCCTGATCTCAGGTGATCCTCCCATCTCAGCCTCCTGAATAGCTGGGACCACCATGCCTGGTCACATGCCTGGCTAATTTTGTGATTTTTTTTTTTGTAGAGATGAGATCTCACTCTGTTCCTCAGGCTGGTCTCAAACTCCTGGGCTCAAGCAAACCTCCTGCTTCAGCCTCCAAGTGCTGGGATTACAGGTGTGAGCCACTGCACCTGGCCAAAGGTTTATTTTTCTTTCTCTTGTTGGCAGCCGAGTTTTCTTCTTCTTCTTACTTTTTTTTTTGAGTTGGGGTCTCACTCTGTCACCCAGGTTGAAGTGCAGTGGCATGATCACGGCCACTGCAACCTTGACCTGATGGACTCAGGCAATCCTCCTGTCTCAGGCTTCCAAGTGGGTGGAACTACAGGCACAGGCCACCACTCCTGGCTAATTTATTTTTTTGTAGAGACGAGGTCTCGCCATGTTGTCCAGGTTGGTCTCGAACCACTGGGCTAAGGCAACCCTCTTGCCTCCGCCTCCCAAAGTGCTGGGATGACAGGTGTGAGTCACCACTCCCAGCACAGCCAAGTTTTCAATGCCCAGCACAGGGGCCCAGCATGTGGTAACTGCTGGGCAACTCACTGTCCAATGATAAATGAATGTGCCCCATTTCCAGCTGAGGACACTGCGGCCCCAGGAGAGATCCCATGGGCCCAGACCTCCCATCCATCCCTGTGTCTCCAAGTCACAGACACCCCAGGTCCTGCCTCCTTCCATCTGCAGACTTATCCCCAGCTGGACAGAGACTCGTTCAGGAGTCGCAGCCCTGGTGAGGGCTACAACTACAGTCCCCAGGACAGCACAGGCCTGGTACCCTAGCCCAACCTGGAGTCCACAGATCCACGGAAAAGTCAAACAAAGGTGGGTTTCCCTGAAGGGCGTCCTGCTGGCTAGACCACCGGCGCCCTCTTCCTCTTTGATTTTTGCATTTTAGCTCGTGGTGTTTTCAGTGAGCAGACGAGGCAAGGTAATTTATCTTCAGACCAAAGCAGGCAGGGAGGATGCTTCTATTAATACTTTCTGGAAGGAGAAACTGAGGCAGTAACATTGTATCTCGGAGACCACGAGGGAGAGGGATAGGTCCAAGAACAGCTGTCCCTTCTCAGTGACACGAGTGGGTCAGAGATGGACACTCTGGAGCACAGAGCCACCCGGGTTTGAGTCTCTGTCTCTGCAATGACACTTCATAGCTGTGTGATCTGATCAATCCCTCTGAGCCTCAATTTCTTCCTTTTTATTTATTTGTGTTTTTTCTTTTTTCTGCCCTGGATATGAACCCGGGACCTCTTGCAGTCAAAAGTCCTCTCATTTTTATTAATTAATTTATTTTTGATTTGAGGGTCTCACTGTCACCCAGGCTAGAGTGCAATGGTACGATCCTGGTTCACTGCAGCCTCAACTTCCTGGGCTCAGGTGATCCTTCCACCTCAGCCTCCTGAGTGTGTGGGATGACAGGCACACGCCACCACGGCTGGCTCATTTTTTTTATTTTTTATTTTTTGGTAGAGATGAGGTCTCACTAGTTTGCCCAGGCTGGTCTCAACTCCTGGGCTCAAGTGATCCTCCTGCCTCGGCCTCCCAAAGTGCTGGATGACAGGCGTGAGTCACCATGCCTGGCCCCTCTCATTTTTAAAGTGGGGATAATAGGAACAGAACCTTCCCTGTATTCTGAGGACTGAGGTCACAATCCTGGAGCCCACCTGCTGTGCAAACCCTGTTTTGCTCAGCATCCTTCCTCGTGGTGACCTGGGAGTAGTGGCCTCACTATGTCGCTGTGAGAACCAACTGTGCTAATGAGCTGAGAGTCACAAAGGATTATCCCCAGGCCTCGACTTGACTCCTAATGGGATTTGTCTTGCTGGATTTTGTACTTGCTGAGGACGGGTGACCCCTTTATCTCTGCCAATTTCTCCCTTCTAGAATGGGAATGTCCTACGCCTGTCCCACCATTGTGTTTTGTAATTAATTATTATTATTGTTATTTTTTGGTAGAGATGAGGTCTCACTACGTTGCCCAGACTGTTCTTGAACTTCTGGGCTTAAGCGATCTTCCCATCTTGGCTTCCCAAAGTGCTGGGATTACAGGTGTGAGACCACCGTGCCCGGCCTCCACCATTGTATTTCGGAAATACACAAAGGTAACTTGTTTTGTAGTTTCTGAGTCCCCAGATGGAGAAGAGTTTTGCTCCCAAACAGATCATACCCACAGCTTTGCTCATTCCAGATTAAGAAGGTTTAGAAGCTGAAATCAGATCCTGCGGGTTCCAGACCTACCCGGGCAACTTGGCGAGGCCTCATCTCTACAATAAATCAAAAAATCAGCCGGGCGTGGTAGCGCATGCCTGTAATTCTGGCTACTCGGAAGGCTGAGGTGGAAGGCTCGCCGGAGCCCAGCAGGTCGAGGCTGCGGTGGCCATTAGCGGCCACTGCACTCCAGTCTGGGCAACAGAGTGAGACTCCAACTCAAAAAACAAAACAAAACTCTAGAAGCTGAGATCTGGGGCTCCTGAGCTGCTGCCGTGATAGGTTAAGACTTTTGGGGATGTTGGGATGGGATGAATGTATAATGTATGAGGACAGGTGGGAATTCTGGGGGTCACAGGCACTGTCATGGTTGGGTGGTGGCCCTTCAGAAGATATGCCCACCCAGGACCTGTGAATGTGATATTGTTTGGAGAGAGGATCTTTGCAGACGGAACTGAGCCAAGAATCTCAAGAGGAGATCATCCTGTGTTAGGGTGGCTCTAATTCCAGTGACAAGTATCCTCTCAAGAGGCCGGGTGCAGGGACTCACGCCTATCATCCCAGCACTTAGGGAGGCCAAGGTGAGACCATCACTGAAGAGCAGGAGTCTGAGACCAGACTGGGCAACATAGCGAGATTTCATCTCTACCAAAAAAAAAAAAAATTAGCCATATATGGTGGCATGCACCTGTAGTCCCAGCTATCCAGGAGATTGAGGTTACAGTAAGCTACAATTATATCACTGCACTACAGCCTGGGTGATAGTCTGAGATCCTGTCTAAAAAAAAGAAAACGGGGTGATAAATAACTTGGGGTGCATGAAGTAGGGATACTAGGGCCCATTGGGGGTGCCAGAAGCATCAGAATGGAAAAGAATGAGGTGCCCTCTGCCCCCCAACGCAGGACACACTGTGAGGCTCAGAAGTCCAGCATCTCTCTCCCTGCTTCCCTTGGGGAGCAGGTTGTCATAGCAACAGATGCAGGTGGAACTAGGATTCGAAATCCAATGTGAAGCCTAGAGTGGAGCAGGCCATGGCAAAAGCTCCCCTTGCCCACCCCAGGACCAGCAGGAGCTCTGAGCGCCACATTTTTTACTGCGAGCCTCACTCAGGTCACCCTGGGGAGCCACTGGACCCAACCGCCTGGTGTGGGAGATCTGGGGTCACCAGCCACCGAATTACACAAATTGGAATGTGCATCGTCCAGTTCTCACCGGGGTGAGCCAGGGAAAGCCAGAAAGAGGGAGCAGAAACGGGGGCGAAACACGGTGCATCAAAAGAAAAAAGAGGGGACAGAGAGTCAGCTTCCTCCGGAATGAGAAACACAGGCTGTGTCTGCAGAAAGTCCCAAGGAGTCACCGCAGGGGAGAGAAGATGCACCAAGCCGACCTCTGAGGGTCATTGGCTCTGTGACTAAATAGAGAACGGATGTGGCTTTTTATTATTTTACGTTTGCAGAGTTTTAGAGTTGGGATCTCACTCTGTCACCAGGCTGGAGGGCAGTGGCACGAGCACTGCAGCCTCAGACGATCCTCCTGCCTTGGCCTCCCGGCTAGCTGGGACTATAGGCATGTGCCCCCATGCCCAGCTGATTTTTTGAAGCGGTAAGGTCTTGCTATGCTGCCCAGGCTAGTCTCGACTTCTTGGGCTTAAGCAAGCTTCCCACTTCGGCCTCCCGAGTAGCTGGGACTACAGGCACATGCCACACATCTTTTTTTTTTTGAGTTGGAGCCTCACTCTGTTGCCCAGGCAGGAGTGCAGTGGCACAATCACGGCCATGGCAGCCTCGACCTGCTGGGCTCAGGCAATCCTTCTCTTTTGTTTTTTTAAAAAGCCAGATGAATGACTCCTCTTGGATGTTTCCCTCTGAAAGTGCTGGAATCCTCATGAGTTTTATTTCCACTGAGCACGATTAGCGTGTTTTTATCAGTCCCATGACAGCACCTCTCCCTGCAAGGGTGTTGGAGGCATCTGTTACTGGGAGGGGTAGCCGTGCTCCCCAGGGGCTGAGCAGCGGAGGCTGGCGGAGAAAGCGGAAGGGGGTTTTCTTCTTCTGGAGGCGGGAGGGCAGGGACCATCGGTGGGATTTGGGCAGGCTGGGTCCCTATCAGGGTAAGGGCTGCCCTGGGAAAAGGCCTTTCTCTTCTCTGGGCCTCAGTTGCCCCATCTGCGAAAAGGAATTAGACTGGATACTCCAAAGGCTATAGGTCTAAAGTCGCTTTTCTTCTTCTTTTTGCAATCTCTGTGGCACCCCGGCAGGAGTGCGGTGCCACGACCATGGCTCGCTGCAGCCT